TATGGTCCCTTTCTGTTTCTATATGGAATTTTTAAATGGCTCATAGTGTTCTGTTCTTTTATTAGCATGTTCTTAATTCAAGTTATGTCACTTCTGGGGGTTAAAGTGGATTAAAATAATAAGAATGGTTAGATCTATACATATAGTCATGTATGTGTGTTTATATAGATATGTATGTTTATATATATGTACACTCACTATTAAACTTTATATAATGTGTTTTCTTAATTGATTTATATAACCAAATGGTGAATATCCCTCTGTATATTCCTTTTCTAAAGTGCCATTTTATGTTATAAATAATTTCATTCATTTGAGAACCAATATCTTAGTTTCTACATGCAGTATTTTCAGAGCAAATATAGTTGGATGGTTCTCTATTATAAAGTGTTAAAACACGTTAGCAGTTCTGAATTGTAATTGTTACACATTTTGAAAGTTTGAATTTAAGTATAAAATCTTAGGTATAATCTTTTCAAAATTAGTGTATTAATTAGTTTTGGCTCTTTTTTTGTTATCAGAAAAGTCTTATTAAATATAGTTACTAAAATAAGTAAAAGTGTTTCTATGTTCCAAAAGCAAAATAAAAATAGCTGTTCCTCTTATTACAAAATAATTATATCTCTAGCATTTGAATATCTTGGAATTGAATTATGTGAAAAAAATATGTAAAGAAAAAATATATAGGAGAATAAACTGGATCTTCCAAATGTTTTAAGTGGGAAAAAAGTAACTAGTTACAGGAGATTCTAAAAGTGTTATAATAGTATTGGCTGCTGATCATGTTTTTGGTAATTAGAACTTCGTAATTTCAGTGATTACAAAGCAGAACATATTTTAAGAAATTCATTTTTGTGAACTTTTGATATTACATACTGGAAATATTAATCATACATAAGTACATAAGTATATGTTTTATATGTATATATCGCATAATCATGTTTTTTTTTCTGTGCCACTTTTGATATAGACCAGTGTTTCATTATGGACATTGCCAAATTGTTTATGATTTGGCAAAGAGAATCTGAAAATCTCATTGTAGTCATCCTTATGATGTATTTTCCTTCCAAATTTATTAGTAGTCACTTCATTTAATTTGAACTTCAGCTACTTTTCTTTCTTTCAACTCTTTTGAAAGTGAAATTATTCAGATTTGTCTACTCATACTTCTTTCTTGAACTCAGGCCAATAGTTTCTTTAGTAGTCTTTGGTGTAAGGTTTTATAATATCTTTTAAGATAGCTATTTATTAGTATATTGCTTCTTAGCACTGCTGTCTTTAGGGTGATTTTTTTTTCCCCATAAAATTTCTTTCACCATAAGATTTTATTCTGATGCCTCTTACAGAAAGCAGAATATTTCCTTTTCCCACCTTGCCTACCTAAATGTACACCCATCTCTCCAACATAAATATATATCCTTACTTTAGAAAATGAGACCTACTGACTTGATAATACGGTGACTAATTAAGTGTGTGTAATAAAAAGACCTAGGGTTCTAGTTCTATCTTAAAGTCCTCTCAAATAGTTTTGTTTCTTTTTTGTGTTTGTTACTTTAGAGGCAGAATCCTTCTGGTGATAGTATTTGAAATTAAGTTAAATTTAAATTAAATATTTTATTATGTATAAACTTTTTTATTTTTATTTTTTTAAGATTTTATTTATTTGAGAGAGCAAGAGCATAGAGGGAAAGTGAGAGGGAGAAACAGACTCCCACTGAGTGAAGGGGAGCCCCATGCCAGGCTCAATCCCAGGACCCTGAGATCATGACCTGAGCCAAAGGCAGGTGCTTCACCGACTGAGCCATCCAGCACCCCTATATGTAAACTTTTTTAAAAGGGAGGATCTTTGTTGTCTTATCAGAATCCTGAATTTGCAGCTCTGTCAGTTAAAACTGTCTGTTCAGTTTAGGATTGCCACTTGGGATTTAACATTACAAGCTTTCACTCATTACTTGGAGAGGCAGCATAATGATAGATTCCCTCTGCCCTTGTTTACCTCTCAAGGTAGGGAGTTAGCTTTCAATCTGAGGATTTCTTGCTGAAGCCCCTACATTTCTCAGAAACCCAAATCATGATGGATATCAGCTTTTGGTGTTTATGATATCTGCTTTGTATCTTAAATCTTCACTGCTTCATATTGGATTTAAGTCATGTGAACAGATTCTCAATGTGCTAGGCCCCTAGGTAAGATTTCCATCACCTGGACTTTAGATTCACTGATCATATCTTCAGTATTTTAAGTAATAGAAGAGTTAACTAAGCATATTGGAGAAGCACTTTGTTGCTTCATCTTGGAATTTTGGCAGTTGGCAGTAGTATCAAATTAGCATTTTCATCTTCTTGGAACTTTGGTAACTATAATTTAAAAATTGTTAACATCAAAATATAAATATATACAAGAGTATTATTGCCAGTGTTCTGTATTACTTAATAGATGCCCTTTTTCTCAATCATTATTGCTGTTGTTTGCATACTTTATGCATTTTCCAATTGGAGAATTTCACTCATGAGAAAAGCCTTATTTTTTCTCTATATCCCTTCTTTATAAAAATGCATACTCGTTCACTATCTTTATTTGTCAGAGAATTGATTGTAATGGAATTGATTCTTGCCCTAGTAGGTACATAACACACTTTAGGGAATTAAATATTTAAATTTAATCCCTTTACTTCCATCATCTCAGTTTTTTCTTTTCCCTCTTGTAATTTAACCATTATATCTTAATTTCAAACACTTTATTTAGTAGTGTCTTCTCTACATTCATAGCTTTATTTTATATCTTTCTATATGAAATTTCTTGAATTCTTTGTTTTCAACAAATTTGATCATTAGTTTTCCTGTCTTTGAATTTTTCATGTCCGTATATGAATGTGGTAAGTTTGTTCAAAATGTACTTTAAGATTTTAACATTAACACGTACATCAGAACCTCAGTGTCACATAATGTATTAATGAGTAGAGTTCTATTTAAGGTAAGCTGTCCTAGACTTTATCCAGGAACATTGAAAGTTCTCTTAAAATATATATACCAATTTTAGCTGTGAGAGTGTTTAAAGAATTGTTAGTATGTCTCTTATGCTGCATGAAGCAGACTAGTGAGTGAGAAAGAGCCTCAGATTAGAAATTTAGAGGCAAGCTTTTAACCTTATTTATGCCTCAGTTCCTTCATCTTTAGGGAGTTATATCTTGACTATCCGTATGTGTGGAAGAGATTTGTTTAACTCCATCTCTGCATTACTACTTGGTTTAGAAATATATTGTGTGATATTCTTTGAACCAGAATTATGATACTAATTGTTTATCTTAGGTTTAATTTTTAAGTTTGCTCATATTTCTCCGAATTTGCACCAAATGTCACTGGAGACTGTTGACCTGGAAGACTCCTAGTTTGCAGGGGAAAACAGCTTAGCATTAAACACTGGTTGTGGACAAATCTGAGAGTGGCTAATTGATGTGCAATCAGTTGGAAGTTGATTACATGCACATACCTATCTTTCAGATGTATTTGCAGGAAAGTGTGATGTTTATGAATGACTTGAATGCTCTGAAAACAGGTTCTTTATAAAATTAAATTTTGATGCTGCCACCACAGTATTTTTATGTCACCTACTGATTACTATCATTTTTCAGATGAGCGTTCATCTGATTACTCTAGGTGCTTTTCCACTGTAGTTGTTTTAAAACATGTTGAAATATAATTTAAAAACCACACAAAATAGATCAGTTGATTCCCTAGTTAAACCACCATTTACATTTCTCTCAGAGTATGTTAATCCAGTTTGTTGAACACAAATGTAAAATATTTTACCCGAATAAGAAAACAAGGTAAGGTAATTGGTGAATGAATGAGAATCATTCATTTATTTGCTTGATTAAAGTTGCTCTATGTTCTTGTATTATGAACACATTATTTGAATGCATTTGCAAGGTATGGAATTTAGTGTGAATAAATGTCCAAATCAGAGTGGTTGTTTTAATAGTAGTCTTAAAATTTTTTGATCCTGGATTAAAATCTTAGAAAGAAAGCATTCTAGTTGGAAGTATAAAGAGATAAAAAGTTTTTTTTTTTTTTTAAGATTTATTTATTTGAGAGAGAGAGAGAATGAGCGGTATGGGGAGGGAGGTAGGGAGGGACAGAGGGAGAAGATCTCAAGCAGACTTCCTGCTGAGTGCAGAACCCTTGGCCAGGCTCAATTCCAGGACCCTGAGATCATGACCTGAGCCAAAACCAAGAGTTGGATGCTCAGCTGACTCAGCCACCCAAGCACCCCAAGAGATAAAAAGCCTTTAAGATAATTTGGCTTTCCATTATTTTGCTTACATGAATAAAGTTATTTGTTAGTGGAAGACAGGCCAATACTTTCTTTAAAAAAGTTCCTAAAAGGCCTATTTTGCTTGAGCATTTATCTTTTATGAGCTTTAAGTTAATTGAAAATATGTTAACCTTTTTCTTAGTGTTATCTTCTTTTTATCATGTACTGATAATTCAGATGCCTTGCACACTGTTGCTATTTAAGTGTATGTTATGAGATTGGCTAAATTACACTAAACTTAATTATTTATGCCAATGGTAGGAGGAATATGATGGTTATGAGAAAAAAACAGCCATATAGCAAATTTAATTTTCACAATGGATTTACTTTTGTAAATACATTTATATAAGAAAAATGTAAAATTATGAAATGTTTAAGGGTTGTGAGCTAAGTGGTAACTGGTGATGGTGTTGTGGAAAAATAGCAGGAGGTCAGAAAAAACTAAACAGGACTGAAAGTTTTCTGTTAATGAAGTGTACATATTGTTGAGAGCTGACTATAATGAGATTACCTTTGATGAATGAGTTTGATATTTCCCAAGGATTATTTAATGTATTTTCTTTACTTCTACTTAATTGAAAAATTATGATGTTTAACTCTAAGTAATGGTTTTAAAATGTAATTAGGAAGTAATAAATTGTGTACCTTTTTCTTTTTCTTTCATTTTCTTTTTCTCTTCTTTTTTTAGGGTATGAGTATTATAGAACAATTAGACCCTGTATCTTTTAGCAATTACTTGAAGAAATACCATAATACTATATGTGGAAGACATCCCATTGGGGTGTTATTAAATGTGAGTATCCTTAGGAAGCCTGGATTTTTAACATTTGACCCTATGATGTTTCAAAATATCTTAATTGTCATCATCTGTGATACCTTATTAATGAGCATTGGTTTTAGGTAAATTTTCTTTCTAGTACCTTTAAGATAATTTGGCTTTCCAATATTTTGCTAACATGAATAAAGTTGTTACTGGAAGACAGGCCAATACTTTCTTTTAAATACAGAAAAAAATATTTAGAATAGAAACCTAGTTTTTCTCTTGACTCACAACCAGTTCCGATAAGTTCTTTACAAATATAGATCAAAGTAACCCTTGGTAATAAGTAACCTTATTAATTTTTGGTTTTATTTAATGTTCTAGACTCTATAAAAAATAAATGGAAGATTCTGTTCTTGAACTTCAGATATTCATAATTTAGTAACATGAGACAGATGGCATGTATATGTTTTTCTTTTTACAACAAAAACAATATTTCATGTAAATAATAGTAAGGCAGAAGTTTTGGATTTTTGAAAGAGATAATAATATTAATTTTTCCTCTAATAAATAAAACAATGTGGCTTTCCAGAAGGAAACTGTGAGACTTTTTCATAAAGAAGAAGTGCATGTACACTCAGGAATGGGAGGAGGAAGCAATAATGTGTTCATTGTTTGGAGAGGCAGAGAAATAATGGAGAAGGTAATGTTAGTCTAGAAGAGTTCAGGGCAGGAACCTACCCTACAGTGTGTTTAGTGTAATATGAAAGATAGTACATTGTGGATTTTTAGGAATGGTTTTCTCTAAAGCAGTATTGACTGGAAGAAAAGCCTGTTAAGGGCTTAAACTAATTCTTGAAATTTAAACTAGGTAAGCTACACTAATTTCCTAAAGTCTGAGTTGGATCAAATAAAATTTTAATAAAATAAATGGTGAACCAATCTACAATTAAAATAAAAATCGTGGTTTACCTCTTGGATCTGGAAATTAATTTATATATATTTCAAATTTAGTCAAAGTTAGACAAAGAAGAGACCAGGATTTCATGACAGAAGTGGCTATGATTTGGTTTAGAGAAAAGAGAGAAAGGTGTATGTTTCTTGCAGTGGCTTTATTAAGTATAAGAAAGGTGTGGTGGGAGATGACTGATATTTATCAAGAAGTTAGATTAGGGGACATTCTTTGAGAGAATGAAATAAGGAATTCTCTTTTTCCCATTTAATATGATGCAATAAGAAGTTCAAGAAACAAATCAAGAGAAGAGTAAAAAATCTAGGCTTCAGCTGTGAGGTGGACAAAGTTAAGCCACCAACACAAAGAGTGTTCACTTTTTATGAGGTCTGTTGTAACCAATTTTTTTTTTCCCCCTAGGCTATCACAGAGCTCCAGAAGAATGGAATGAATATGAGCTTTTCCTTTTTGAATTATGCCCAGTCAAGCCAGTGTAGAAACTGGCAAGACAGTTCAGTGAGTTATGCAGCGGGAGCACTCACGGTCCACTGAAGCTCTGAATCCTCAGGGATGCCACCTGCACATACTCATTCTCTGTCCGGGGTCCCAGCCTAGCCCTTACCAAGATACTGGTCCTGGTTTGGGGGGATTCTGAAACCTCAAACTAATAGAACTTTCTTCTCTTCTTTTCTAGTAGGTGTAGTCCTTCCTTAATTTCAACTCATTAAAAATGCTTTATAGTTTAGGGCAGTGGAAGGAAGGCTGGCATCAAAATATTTTGATCAAAAAAGATGGCAATGTAAAGGCCCAATTGTGGCAGACAGTGTTTTGAAAGTAACTTGTAAAGCATTTACCATATCCTAAATTTGCACTCTTTGCAGACTTGTGCACATATATTCCGCTTTCAGAATAGTTTTGCAAATTGTACACAAACAAACAAAAAAAGGGTGGAAGCTTTTTAATAAAGAAATTGCATTTATAAATGATCTGTATTAGAATATAATAAATCTCCAGTTATAGTCAATTACTACCCGTGTTGTACAACAGATACCTTCTATTTTAGTTGCTAATAAAGGGCTACACAACTCAAAATAGTCTGATTTAAACTTATTGCTCTGTGGTACATATGAAAATTGTTTTTTTTATTAATCCCATCTCAGAATTTTTATGTTAAAAGTGGTAAACTTCAGCTCATGTAAAAAATATGTTAGGATGTATTTTATATTTTACATATTTATGTGATTTTTTATCACAGATATTAGAATCATATTTTAAAGTTAGCTTTTAAAATTACATACAGTTTGCCTTTTTGTGTGTGACATCACTTTGTGTCATTACTATAAGAGAATATAAATTCAAGATTGGTAAAAGAACAGATGTAGTCCTTTCCTTCAAAGATCGTGTTTGATAGGCAGTAGTCTGCAAATGAGGAAACATTGAAGACTGTTCTTAGTGATTTTCAAATCATTGCAGACCATACACTACTGCTATGCTTTCTTAGTGCTTTAAGCAATTTGACTCTCTTACTTGAATTTTTAGCAAGAAATCATTAACAGTAACAAAAACAAAAAACCACTGGATTTTCTTATAGTTCTACAAATTTTTTGTCATGATTTTTGGTGCGGCTCTTCCAACTAAAATAATGGTATGGTGTTGTATTTCTTTTTTTAGCATAGACTATTTCTAGTCACTTTGAGGAGGGGAAATATATATATATATATATGTGTGTATATATATATATATATATATATATATATATATATATATATATAATTTGATTGATTATTGGCCACCATGCATGTACTAGATTATACCTATTTCAGTCTAACACTGGGTATCTACATTACATTGGAGAACATTTGTATCTTCAGTGTTACGCCGGAATAGCACAATTTTTAGATGCCTTGCACCAATTTTATTTAAAGATTTGCGTTTCTTATTTACTAAATATCAACTTTCTATACTCCAGAATTGAGAAAAAATGATGTTATCTTTTGGATTCAAAATTATCCACCTATACATATGTGGAAATTATACTCTTACATATTAATGATTTATTTCCCATCACTTAGGTATACTTTTGAGTACTATAAATATTTATTCCTTATTTATTATGTAGACTATAAAAATTTCAAAATTGACTACAGAGTGAATTTTTATTATTTTCTGAGTATGAAACTGATACATGATTATTAATAGAAAATTTAGAAAATACTGAAAAGGATAAAGAAGAGAAAAAACTTACTTGCAATTTCACTATCCAGAGATAACACTGTTAATATTTTTTGTATTTCCTCTCAGTCTTTGTCTATGCTATTTATATGTATGAGTGTGTTTATGTGTTTGTGTGTGTGCATAATAACAAATTGAGATTATACTGACTATATAGTTGTATACCCTACTTTTTATAACTTCCTAAGTACTTCCCCATGTCTTTGAAAATGTAATTTTTAAAAAATGGCTGCCTAACATTTTATTGTATGAATATATACACCATGATGGAACCAATTCTTTCTTTGGATATTAGATTGTTTCTAATATTTCACAATTATAAATAATAGTGGGATGGACGTCTTTGTAAAATTGTAAAATTTGAACTCTATAATAGACTAATTCTTTAGGGCATATTCCTGGGAGTGGGATAATTGCTTTAGATGGTGAGAACTTTTTAGGCATTTTAAAGTATGGCCAAATTACCCTTCAGAAGGTTTGTACCAAATTAGCAATACGTGAGTACCCATCATGCTGCCCCTTCTCCACTATTGATTATTATTTATTTTAATTTTTGACAATTTGTTAAGCATATAATTGGTTGTTCTTTTTCATCATTCTGATAAGAGTGGCTTTACCATGAATCAGGTTTTTTCCTTCTGTGATTTTATAGTTGATTGATTAATAAAAAACACAAGAGGGTTGCTTAGGTTGAATGGACTATACCCCTGTGAATATGTTTACTGTACATTTAAAAGTCTAGAATATTTCAACATCACTCCACCCTTTCCTAGAATACGAGTATATCTTTCATACTCCGTCATGAAGTAGAAAGAGTTCCAAACTGATAGTTGAGTACTGAGTTATAGTTCTGTCTGTGCCACTAATTAGTTCTCTTACATAAATATTTCATGTTTTATCCAGACATTCTCATCTGTAAAATGTGTAGGTGATCTTTTAAGCACATTGTAGAATGTTAAAAAGCTACATGATTAAATTAGAAGTTTTATCTTGATTTCAACTCTACATACATAAAAATGAAAATCTTTTTTTAACACAAAAGGGAAATTAATTTGCATTATTTAATGCAGTTAATATTACCTAAATTGTTGAACGTAAGCTTTTCTACTTTAAGTGCCTTAGAAGTGTTTTGTATTTGAAATCTAAAATGTAAAGGAAATTATTATGTGGTTCTGTACAGTTTCTTCTTTATTACATGCATTTGAGTTACTTGCAGCAACTTTTTTTTAACCGTAGATTGCACAGAGCAGTATATTCATGGATTCTTCACTATTCTGCTAGTGAGTCCTTGAGAAATGTATGTTAAAGATTAGCTCAGTGAGCAGGTAAGTGAATGCTTTGTCTTGGGTGGGCAACAAATCTTCATACAGAGTAGGATAAAGAACTATTCAGATATTCCAGTGTTCATATTTAGACACTCCAATATGGATGGTATGTCCTGAGTTAGTCACTGATTATTGTTGCAGGTCAGAAAGTTTTCTTTGGTGGTAAATAGTTCATTGCTCTAGATAAGAGGTTGTCAAATGTTTTGTGTGAAAGACCAGATACTAAGTATTTTGGGTTTTGCAGGCCGTATGGTCTCTGTCCCAACTATTCATCTTTGCTGTTGTACCACAAAAGCAGTCATCGGCAAGTGTGTACATGAGTCGGTGTGGCTCTGTTTCAGTCAAACTCTATTTACACAAAAAGACAGCTGGATTCGGTCCATGGGCCATAGTTTGATGTCCCCTGTCCTAGATGGTATAGTTTACTTATAGTTCAAATTATTGGCTAGCAATTTAGACTGCAAAAAATGATTGTAAGTTTCTACCTTCCTAGCCCTCTCTTAATTTGATGTAGTGTACTTGACTGGGTTTGAGTGTTATTTAGAATTATAAAGGGAAATGGGAAGTGGGTAAAGAAAATGAGGAAGTCTTAGGAACTAGTGTTAAAGCACTTTGAAGCCCTTTTATTTGCTGAAGCCCACTAGGAGGTTTGCTTTGCTGCTATAAATTAATCAAAAGAGTGATGAGGTTGTGATTAGTTGCTGCAAATTAAAGAAATTATTCTAAGCACTTGGCTACCTAGACAGTACTAGAGGATGGATGAGATGAACCTTTGTTCTTGAGTATTCTGGGACATAGGCCAGTAATTTAAGAGAGACTGTGAAATGTGAGACTCTCTTTTTCTATGTAAAGACTTTGGAAAAATAACTACCATCTTCCATCACTGTCCCTTAATATTTAGCCCCCTAACCCCAACCCTCAATATTTAGGAAGGACATAAACCCAGAATAAAAAAGAATTGTTTAACTTGAACAACTTTAAGTTGATGGAAAGATTACTATACTCTTCTATTTTCATTTACTCTGGATCAAAGAAAACTTCATCAAAGAGTAGTATTAGTCCATACACTGGCAGTTGGGAAGCGCTATGGTATGGTTGCTGAAAGACATAATGTGGTTATGGAACTAATACTGAGTAGCAGGCATGCACTCTGACATTCAGTCTGAAACTTTAATATAATTGTGTTAAATTGTTAAGTGCCACATATTAAGAGGGACATTATGAACTATAGTGTTCATAGGGAGGCATCTAGAATGATGAAAGGCCTGAGTGCTATGGAGAGTGGGATGCAATCAAAGAAATTGATAATACTCATTTTGGAGAAGATAAGTTTAAAGAGAGGAAGTCCCCCCCCCCCAAATACTTGAGTGACTACCATCTATAGGAAGAAACAGAAGTTTTCTTTGTTGTTCTAGATGGGAAAATTAAGAAATGGAAGTTTCTGGTTCCACATTTAATGTTCTATATGAGAATTTCTAAATGCAAATAAGCTCTGTCCTCAAAAAACATTAGAAGTACTCAAAAGCTAGACCAGTGGTTCTCAAAATAGTATCCTGTGCTGTCAGCATCAGTATCACCTGCGTATATTATTGGTATAGATCTAAAATTATGGAACACCAAGCTGAAAAAAAGCTAATGGAATTAGTACAAATAAAATGCAATTTATTTCGTGTGTATAAACTTATTAAGGGCAATAATTTTTAAATAAAAATTGATTTTGATCATTTAACACTAACAACATTGATTATAAATTGATGATTGTTACTTGTTAGTGGTGGAACACTGGACTCTTAGAATAATAGTATACTTTTGTTTTAGTTAAAACATTTAAATACAAGCTAGAAGTTTCTATTTACTAAAATAAATTTCGGTTGGTCTTCAAATCAGTGACTTTACTTTCTTAAGCATGTGCTTCTTGAACATTAAGACAGAGCCATATCCGTAGCAGAAAGGGTCTTAAAGGAGCTTGCTCTTTTTATACCTGAATATTAGGAAGGGAACCAAGAGGAGCTGGCAGGTAAATTCTCTCTGCCTTCTTTCTCTTTTACCCTGTAAGTACAGCTGAGTGGAGTGTCACACTGTGATCACTGTGCTAATCATTTGGTAACAGTACCCTCAGGTGATGCTGGTAACTGGCATTTCTGCCTTTTCAAAGTCACTGTTGTGGATGGAATTTGTTTGCCTATCATGAGTTTATTGATACATGCTGCTAGTTGGGGTACTGTGTGAGTAATTTTAGAGTTTTAGATTTGTCATTTATTTAAAGGTTCTCTGGGGATTTCAGAGTGGTTTGTGCCCAAGATGTATCACATTAATTGTGTATGTGTGTGTGTTTAATTCTAATATAAGGTTTTGGCCTTCACACTATAAAATAATAGAAAAAAACTTTAAAAGCCAGTTTTCTGATTTTGAAAGCCATAATATAATACAGTTGGTTTTTCATTATAAATTGTAGTTATGTTCAAATGCATATTTCATACTGTGTAGTGAGGTTGTAACTTCACTAGCTATAGTCCTGTTTCTTTCCTGTCGTCC